CGGGCGCTGAGGTAACTGTAAGTAAAGGTGCTGCTGGCTGCTGCCGTTACTTCGGGGTCGGCCTGCGCAGGTAGTTGGGCTGCCGGGCCTCCTCTGGCGCTGGTCGGGGGAGCCGGGGAAGCCCGAGCTTGCCGTTTAGGCGAGGAATGGGTTCGCCTCTGCGGCGTCAGCGCAGCTCTTGTGCACCCTGGAAAACTCTGATCCACCCCAGAAACATCTTCGTAGAGCGAGGAGTATGTACTGCCCTTAGCTCTGAGGATAGGAACGTTTCGTTGAACTTGCGGTTTTGTACTGGAGCTCTGCTCAAAGAATTGGTGTCCTTTCTCCCCTGGGAGGAGTTCTGGAAAGGGGTGGTAATACAATGAAGGTTTCATTTGAAATTTGGTCTCTGCACGAGGTAGTTTGCTAAAGAGATGCAAATTTACTGGAAAGACCGGCAAGCAATTTTCTGTACGCCAGTGAGTGTTTTTGACAAGTGTTACATATTGCTCAAGATCGACTTAAACTGGCCTTTAAGGAGTAATGTGTTGAAGTTAAAATGTTGGGGTGATGCTACCACATGTCCTGAGCAGTAGATATCCCCATGAGGCTATTTGATTTGAATGTTTATCCGACTTTACTGAAAGAATAAATAAGGTGCATCTGCTTTAAGCGACTCTGTGATTCTGGTTTAACTTGTTACTGATGTGGGGTTTCCATTGTTTTTTTTTCTTTTTCAGGTAACACCACGATACGAGACTTATTTATTGAAATATATTTTCTGGGATGAAGTAGACAAGCAACATAGAAAAGGTGTAATTATTTATAAGTAATGACAGTTCATTTATCGTTAGACACCTATTTGTTCTCTATAATTAACCCAAAAAGTCTCTGGTGGAAGCAGAGAAACAAATACCCGTATTTGTATAGACCTAAAGTCTGCTGGAGGATAAATCATGCCATTCACCCGAGAGTTTTTCATACGAGCGAGCCACAGTGTAAATGGGCTAGAAGCAGAACGTTTTGGTACAACAAATACATTTACAGCCATGAATTTTTATACTACAGAGTTTCTAAACTTCTGACTTCTTCTTCCAAAGGACTTACAAAAGTGAACAATCGCATGTCACGAATTAAGAATACTATAGAATCTGTTTCAAAGGCAGTGTCTGGCACTCACAGTGAACTGGTTTCACGGATAGCTCGATTAAAGTCACACTCAGGTACTCTGGGAAAAGCAAATAAAAGTAATGCAGATGCAAGTAACATCCATGCAAATCTAGAAAATGATAAACAAGTCACAGATGCCAGAACTCAGGAGGATTGCAACAGAGGCCCAGCTGCAAAGAAATCCACTTGTGCAAACGAAAACTTGGAGCCTATTTTAGTAAGCGCAAGTGGCACTGATCAAGATACTGAAAATGACTCAGCATCTACTAAAACCCACCTTTTTCATGTAAGCTACTTTTCTACAAATTTTGGAGAGACTTACAACTTTGTAGCTGATCACATCAACTGGTACTTTAATAATTCTGTTATGGATCAAGAGAAAAAAAGGAATGGTTTCTTACGGGACTCTCAAAGTGAAGAGAGGAATAAGCTCGATTCATCAGAAAATACTATAATGAGTGAAGAAAAGACGGTGGATTCAGCAGCTACTTCAGCTCCTGAAGCAGAGACTCTGGGTGCTGAAAAGACAAATGCTGCTCTTCCAGTTTCCACTAAAAAAAGTATTGCAAACTTTCTTTCATATCCCAGTAACAGTGTACAAGCTTTTGTAGACAGTTACATTGGTGGGTTGGTTCCCAAGTTAAGATCTGATACAAAAGTTGTTTCACCAGAAAAGAGTAAACAGCTGGAACAAGAAGTGTCTGAGAAGGATGAGGAGGACAAAGCAAAAGAGGCTAAGACTGCAGAAGAGAGGGAGAAGCATCTGTCTCTTCAGAGAGAAAAGGCAAGTCTCTGTTTAGTGTTATTTCTTTATGTGTTATTTCTATGTATATTTTATACAAGTGTATATATACGCTATACCCACATATGTATGTATACCTATCTGTAAACTTAGATACATACACACACTTACATACTTAAGTGTACACCTATGTATGTACTTATATGTAAGTACATGTGTATACGTACACATAATGTTTATATGTGTATGTACATGTAAGTCCATATGTATCTATGTAAATAAGTATATATCTATCTACACATATATAAAAACTATATGAACTTATGTATACATACGATATGTAAGTTATGTGTAAACTTGCATATACATGTATGTACTTGTAAATAAGTATATATGTATACATATATAAAAATGAGTATACTTTTTATATAAGTACATGTATGTTTATGGTTTTATGTAAAGTGTGTATATATATGCACGTGTGTGTATAGTATATACATATATTTAGCTCATATATATGTAGAGAGAGAAAGTACATAAATATAGGTAGTAGTTGCTGCTGTTGTTGTAGCTGTAGTAATCTTACACTCCTTCGTGGTCCAGATACTATGATTTCAGAGTTGCCCTGAAAATACATCTGAGTACATGCTGACACATGTTTGTTTGGTGCATTGTTGCTGTGAGCTGCCTTTATTTATTTTTCTAGTAAACAGCCATACGGTTGCCTGTTTATGTTTAAGCAATGCTTAACTTGGAGCCTGTAGCAGATCTCTAGTACAATATGTTGTCCTACTTCTGAGAAGTCTTAAAATAAGTTTGGAATTAGTCTTGACAGATTTTACATATTTCTTACAGTAGTTTTATGTTATTTTTATAACTTTTATCTTTTTTTAGATTATTGCAAGAGTGAGTATTGATAACAGGACTCGAGCTTTAGTTCAAGCCCTACGGAGATCCTCTAATCGAAGAGTCTGTATCAGCAGGGTTGAAGAACTGACCTATCATCTTCTAGAATTTCCAGAGAGCAGAGGAGTTGCAATTAAGGTGCAAATAGTCTTTATGCTTAGACAAAAAATAAATATCTGACAGACCATTGACATAGAATAACATAAAACTTTATTCTGTGCATTTGTGGGCTAGTCATATTTTCTGTTTGTAAAGAGTACAGTGTGAATGCCTCTCTTCATAGCTATTTTTTTAGCTGGTTCAGATTTGTATGCAAACAATCAGTAGTTTAGCTAAAGGCTCTTAAGATTGCAATGTTTAATTTAGAAGCATACAGCTTGTCATGTGGATAGATAGTATAGCTTATTCTAGTGGTAGATGAAGGTTGTACACTGTGTTCTCTGTCGCAATTGACCGGATGGGAATGTACGGTACAGTTGATCTGCATATGCACAACAGTTTTTATGCTTGTTTGCATGCTTCCTTTGAAGAGAGATGACAAGAGTGGAATATAATCACCAAATAAGTTCATGTAATCTAATCCTACTCACTCTCTTTCCTGCAGTGAGAGGACAGGAGGTGGGTGGTAGACTATTCTAGCAGTACTAGCTAAATCATAGCATTTGTCAGTCTTGTGCCTTTTTCCACAAGATACGACAGATGTGTGACATAGATTGTAGAATTGCTGGAAAAGAGATCTTTGGGAATGGAGTGCAGGCCAGATGAATCATCCAGGCAGGGTACAGGTCGGGCATCCACATGAATAGATGTGAGTTACTTTATTATGAAAGAGTACATTCACTACTCCCATTTTGATTATAATACTCTATATCTGTGTGATAGTAATCGTACATTTAAAAATTACTCACTGTGAGGAAAAAATGTAATTTTTGTCTTTAATATTAGTGTACTTAGAAGGCATTTCCTGTTTTGAAGCAGTGTAATACTTATTCAGCAAAATCTGGGCTTCTAGCTATACTTGGTGTGCTCCACACTTGAGTTTATACTTGGCCAGTGTGACCTTAAAGTCAATAAAACTAAACTGCTGGTAAATAAAGGTTTCTAGCTATTTGAAACATGTACATTTCACCTTGGTTGTTTAATTCTGGTAGGTAGTTACTTCAGCAATGAGGCATGTACAATGTCATATTGAAGTCCTTTCTTTCCCATGTTAGAAAGAGAGATGGGTAAATACAGATTTAAAGAAGTTTTCCTCTGAGTTTAACTAATATATTACTTTTACACTTAAATGCCAAACTAGGATATTTAAGCATGGATTCTTTTGGTATAAACATATAGTTAGAATGAAATATCTTTGTATTTATCAATAGGAAAAATTAATCCCATGCCTACTGCGACTGAGACAGGCAAATGACGAAAGTCTTCAGGCTGCTGTTAGAGAGACTTTAGCTATAATTGGATATACAGACCCTGTGAAAGGCTGGGGAATTCGAGTCCTCGCTATTGATGGAGGAGGAACAAGGTAAGTCCTCTGGGTTTTTTTTATATACTTGTAGCCTTTTTCATACTGTACTGGAAATAAAATTTCAGTTACTCTTTGATAAGTTTGTGCCCAAAGATGCAATTTATGATTTACAGTTGCATTTGACTATCCAAGTGATGGACGTTATTTTTGCATGCATTTGTGCTTAAATTTCCATGCATTACTAGACCTATGACACTGAAATGACTTACCTGTTTAAAGTTGGCTACACAGTTAATTAAGTGCTTGGGTTGGCTCTTTTTTCTTTTGGAAGTAAATTAAATGTTTATTTGAGTTGGTCTGCTCACAAGTCTAATCTCAGAAATACAAAATTGGGGTGAAATGCTACAAGTAGTTTATACTCTTATGATTGTGTTGCCTTGTACTTTTCTGGAGGGTGACCTGCCTCAGCAGGAATGGTCTCATATGAAAGAATGAATAGGCTACTGGTGAAAGCTGTTCTATCCATGCTGTTGACTTATATTTCTTCTAAAACTAATGCTTTTTTTCTTTAATTTATGCACCACATGTCCTTAGTTACACATGCTCTAGTTCTGCATGAATTTATGCATCTACCACAATTTGTAAAGAGTAGTAGCAGAAGCCTGTTCATTAAATTTGAATTCTGACGTTTACTAAAAGCTGTGTTTATAGCCCCATTAAGACCAAGCTTTAAGTGCTGTGTGGTCTAGATGCAGCTAAAATCTATCTTGAGTCTACATCCACAGAAGATGATCATCCCTGAGCCTTTGCTACAAAACAGTATGGCTACAAAACAGTGTGGCTGTAGCTGTTGAGTACTATTTTTGATATGCCTGAGTATGTCAATTATATTTAGTATTCATCATTTCATTTTAATTATGTTCTGCTACTCTTTCATTCCCTGAAATATTCAGGATTCTTACTGTGGTAGTTAGTCATAATTAGTTATAATTAAGCAAAGATGGGCTTAATTAGAGCTATGTAAGATAAAACTACCATTGTATGTGAAGGGGATTTTTGTGTTTCAGGGGTTTAGTTGCACTTCAGACTCTACGGAAACTAGAAGAACTAACTGGAAAGCCGGTTCATCAACTTTTTGACTACATTTGTGGTGTAAGCACAGGTAATTGTTAAGCCACAAGTTGGAATTTTGCTAGCGGTATAGTAAAAGAACATCGGAGAATAAATGTAGATTTTGCAGAACTTGCCAGTTCCTGGCTTTGAGTGTAAGCTGGGAAAGTACAGGTGTGATTTCTAAAGTCTTTCTTTTCTTCTTCTGAATAAGAACTTTGGGTGATTCATGATACACTTTTAACTTCAAACTTTCACAGTTATTGAAAAAATGACAAATCACCTTCATTTTGCACACAGCTACAGATATCTTGGGTGTTTATGAGGCAGCATCCCTCAGGGACTGATACTGGGCAATAGTGTTTCCTTTCTTTATTAATGACCTGCACAGTGGGACAGACTGCCTGTAGCAAGATCTTGGATGATCTAAATTCGAGGAGATGGTTAGTATAGGGATGCTCTCTGTTCAGATTGGCCTGTACAGCCTGGAGAAATGGCTTGACAGGAACCACCTAAGCTTCAATAAAGCTGAGTACAAAGCCCTCCATCTGAGGTGGGCTGACTGGCTAGAAACCAGCTTTGTAGAAAAAAAATTGGTCTTTCTGGAACAAGTTTAACACGAATCATCAGTGTAGCCTTGCAGCAAAGAAAGCTAACGACCTATTGGCTTCTATGCACAAGAACGTACCCAACAGATTAAGGGTCTCTGTCTGGCCACTGTGTGTCTAGTTTTGGGCTCCTCAGCAGACCCTTAATCTGTTGGATATGTTCTTGTACATACTGAGTCAGTCTGGGAGAGGGCCAAGTAGGTGGTCGGGGGCTGGAGGCCATGATGTACAGGGAGAGAGTGCAGGGACTTCGTTTATTCAGCCTTAAGAAGAGAAGGCTAAGGGAAGGCCTTATTGCTCTTTCAACTAATGGGAAAATACAGAGAAGGTGGAGCTAGGCTCTTCTTGAAGATGCACAGTGATAGTAGAAAAGCCAACAGACAAGTTGAAATGTGGGAGTTACAATAAGGTATAAGGAATCACATTTTCCTTGCAAGGATGGTCAGACAGTGGAAGGAGTGGCCTGCACAGGCTGTGGAAGCTCCATCCCTGGAGATACTCAAAACTTGGCTGAACAAGTCCTGAGTAACCTGTTCTAATTGAAGCTGTTTGAAAAGGAGGTTGGACTAGATGACCTCTAGAGGTCCCTCCCAGCCTTAATTACTCTTGTGACTCAGTGATAAGTTAGTCTTCTCTAGGAAGTAGGGAATTCTAAAGCATAAATTTCTTTTAAAAAGGCAGTCATCTCCTTCAGAAATTATGCTAGACCAGTAGCAGCATAATGTTGATTTCTGACATAAGAGGTATGCTGTAGTTCAATAGCTCATTTGCCTTCAGAAATGCACATCCTTCAATTTTTTTTTGCACTATACTTATCTTCCATACAGTTTAATTCAGAAATAGCATTAAATGCAGATCACCATGAGTAGATACAATGTTCACGTTTCCAGACATTTGCTTAATAGGCTCAAAATAGTAGAGAAGAGGAGAATGCTTACGTCTGCTGGACAGAATTTGTAGGCACAATATAGTTCCCTGCTATACATTTTTAATAGTGTTTGAAAAAAATCCTTTGTTAGTTAATTTAGCAGTAAGTGGTTGTTTCTTTAGAAGATAGTTTCGCTACAAAACACTTCTCCAATGTCTGCTTCAATAATTTTAAAAACATTTTATCTTTGATAGAGAGGTCTGATGTTCTTAAATCAAGCCCACTACTCTGATTAGAACTAACTTAAGTCACTTGCCTATCGCTGAGCACGGTATCTGGGCATGGAAGCACCAGAAAATCTGCAAGCACGTACAATGCAGTGATGGCCGCTGAACTTTTTTTATGGGGAACTAAGTTAATGTAGATTCCATACCAAGTTTGTGCCTGTTCTGTGCAAAAATCCAAAGATGAAAACAAGGCAGTTGAGAGGAGGAAGTGCTATTGCCCCATGAACTGAGGTGGTGGGAATTCTGTAGGTGAGTGTTCTCTAGAGCATGACATGCTTTCATAGATGCACAGAGCACTTAACTCATTGAGGACACCTTATCTGCAGGTGTGCTGTGGATGTGGCTTGTATGTTCTTTTCACTGCTCATGCAGTCTCCAAATAGGTCAAAGATACTTCTCAATAGTGGTGCACTTATAATTCAGTCAAAGGGAGCAGTTTATAACATCAAGAGTATGTAAACAGGCAAAGTGCATGCTAGTGAATTTTCAAATGCTAATAATTAGTGGTATTCAGATGCATCATATGAGGGATTCGATCATTGACATACTATGATGAAAGGTTCTCTAAGCATATTGTTTTCCACTGCATTTTACTACAAAGACATCTGAATTGTACTGGTCACTTTGATCATCGGTTTTGGATGCATGTGAAACTTGCATCCAAACGCCTTGCATCCAAAGGATATTCTCCCAAAATATTCCTCCCAAGTTGTTAAGAACAGCATAAAGCTAATGCCCCCATTTATTCTCCCAGCCTTCAGTGATTTGCAGATGAGGAGCCTCCTTAAACAAAGCTGGCATCTCTTTGTGTTGATGATTTTTTTTGCCCATCATGTCCCTCCAGTTTTGAAATGCATTTTGAAAACCTTTCTGATGGAAGAAGTATTTTTTCAGTAGAACTCATCAATGACAAGTCAAGTCATGGTATTATAGAGCTGAAAGCATCCTTAGGAGGTTATCTCATTTCCCAAGGGAAGGATCAGCTGTGTGTGTTTAAGTATTGACAATTTTTGGACACTTTGAATCATGTCAGACCTCTTCAGAAAATCTGTGCTAGTGCTCTGCTGTCTTTACATTTGGGGGAAAAAAAAAAATCCAAATGTCTAATGTGGATCTTCCTGCTGCAGTTCAAATTTGTTTCCTCTTGTCCTGACTCCCCTGGAACATGGATAATAGATTCTTTCTTTCCCTTTGCAGCAGCCTTCTGTGCGTTTAAAGGCTTTTGTCATAGCCTGTTTACTCAGGCTTTCCTTACAGACTGATTTCCTTGACCTGTGATTGTTTTGGGGGGGGATTTTTTGTGTGGCTTTTCTTTTTTTCAGTTGGTCCACATCTTCTTTGAAGAATGTCGTTCAGGTCCAGATATAGCACTTCAGCTGAAAATCTTACTGGTACTGAATAAGGAAGGAATACTTTTATCTTTCAGGTTATATTCTTGCCTATCTTGTGTCGTCTTAGCCAGCTGTATCCCTGTGTTCTTCAAGATATGTTCCTTAGCCTCCCAGGTTTTATTTAGGTATTTTTTTTTCCCCCTGAAGTGTTGGCTGTCAAGGCTGAGATGGTGGCTGAAGTGTAGGAGTCTGTGATACAGAGCAGGATGTGATGGAAGTGTCAGAAACTTTTTTTACTGGACTATCTGATAGACCCTGCACTGTGTCTTTGATTTTGACCTTGCTCTCCTGTGAGCGTCTTGTTACCATGCAGCAGGTTTCAGCAAAGCCGTTTAATGTGTACCTTGACTCTGATATTATCTACTGCCACTTGTGTGCTGATGCGGACTGCAGTGTTTGGTGCTGTTTGTCAGGAGGTGAAGTGAAAATGAGTTTGCATTTGGTATGAATTTTGGCTCTTTGTCTTTGAAACTGTTCACCAAAATAGCAAATGCATGATATTGTAGAATTGGTGCTGGAGAGTTAAGAGGAAAAAGAAGGTAGCAGAGGATTTGCAAGACTCAGGAAAATGGTGTTTCTCTGCTGCTAGACATTTACCTGTGTTGAATACAGGCATTTTGTGATTTGGCAGTTGAGTAAGTTTCTCTTGATGAAACTTTGATGTGTCAAGTAGGCCCAAGTTATATTAAGCATGTGTGCTACATTTAAAAAAAAAAAAAAAAAAAGAGGAGACCATTAATCCACCAACACTCAGCTATCATGCTGGTGGGGTTTGTGAGAGCAAAAGAAGCTTGGAAGTCATGTTTCCTTTAAAGCCACCTCTAACTTTCTTTATGTAGTTCTTTCTGCATATATGCTTTATTCTTACTCTTTTTCAAGAATTTACTCCTTTTTACATTATTTTTATTTACACCTATTGCATTCATGTACAAATTTGAAAAATCATGTGTCCTAATTCCTGATGCTTAATTACATGTCTTCACAGTATTGCACAGTTAGATTTAAAGGTTGTATATGTCCCTTTCAGTTTAATATATCTAAGAATCATAGTGATGCATTAATTGTATTTTTCCACAGTCTTTTTAATGGTATTCTGCAGCCATGCTTTTTGGATACTGCTGTTTTGTTCCTACGAGGGTAGGTCATAATTTTTTTTTTTAGGTACACGCTAGATGGCAGTATGTATGAATGACTAATTATAAATGGTTGCAAGCAAATGTATTCCGAACTGGTCAAAACTCCCTTCTTTTTACAGAATTTTCCTAGAATTTTTCTTTACTGACTCAGAGTTTGCCAGAGAGCAAGTAATGTACCAAATATATTTTTAATACCACATCATAGATTTCTCTTGCTCATTTCTCTTTCCAAATAAAGCAGTGGATTTAATTTGCTTTCTGCCATATACTAGTTTGCAGGGATGAATTCTGCAAAATTAAATAATGCCATTTTTCAACTTCTCATAGTTCTGTTTTTGAAAGTAGACCCCTTCTATCTCGTATATGTCTTTTTAAAACAGTTTGTGACCTCTGAACAGGAATTTAGTGATATAAATGTCAGTTGATCTACCCTTTTCAAGATAGATACTCTGCTAACCTATGAACTACATTAAATGGTAATCCATCTTTATAATCTTACTCCAGGCTATATTTTACATTTCAACATATTTCTTTTTCAGGAGCTATATTAGCTTTTATGTTGGGGTTGTTCCATATCCCTCTGGATGATTGTGAAGAACTGTATCGCAAATTAGGATCAGATGTTTTTAAGCAGAATGTCATTGTTGGAACAGTCAAAATGGGTTGGAGCCACGCCTTTTATGACAGTGATATATGGGAAAAAATGCTCAAGTAAGTAAAAAATGATCAGGGGAGAAAATAATTAGTGTAATGTCTGAGAGGCTTCGGTTTTGTTATTGTTTAACTGGTAAGCAAATTCTTAAAACAACTAGAAGGGATTAGCATATACTCTCATTCTTTTGAAATAGCTGTTTTCATGTTTACCAAAACATTGAAAGCCTTTAATGTTATGATTTCTGTTTCTGGGGAATAAAGTAAGCCTTAGTGCACTGATTTCTGATTATATTCCTGTATGCTTGCCAGCTCTGCTTGATCTCACTCATTATAGATCTGCTACAGATTTTACTAGCCACCTGCTGTGCCTTTTTTCTTATAGGAAACATGGTGAGAAATGAAATAATGTGCTGTAGTAGGGATTTTTAATCTTAGCTGGTATATTGAGGGGTTTTGCCCATTGCCCCTTTCCTTGAAAAGGGAAATGAGCTGTAAGGGTTGCAATGAAAAAGTATCTGCTGTGTCAGAGTTGCCAGTGAAATGGTGTTTGTTCATAGATACGTATACAAATGCATTAACGGCTATTCAGAAAAAATCACTGGGAAGAATTATTGTATTACAAGTTTTGTTACTTAGTTTTATTCATCTGTATTTGTATTGCTAGTTCTATTGTTTATGATTTTTAGCAAACTAATGTTGTAGTTTCCCAAATAGTGTTAGCTGGCACTGCTACTGAAAGAACTGAAACAACCTTCCCTGAGAGCAAATGTAAAATGGTAAAAAGTTTCTTTGGTTAAGTAGTGACAAGTTCCTTTGGGAACATGATGAATGCGTTTTATGGGATTGAAAGAGTTTTTTCTAGACGTTATAGTGGGAATACCTGTCCTGCCTGAGTTTTAAGCATCTCACTTCTTTGCTGAAGTGAGGAGAGGGGCTTCCAAGCACTTCTCCTCTGTGCTTTTGCATATTTTTAGGACTAAGTGTGTTTATCAAATGAATATCATGTTTTTCGTCTCAGATATCTGGAGTTCCTCTTTTTTGAGAAAAGCGATTTTACTCTGCCTTCCCTCTTTTCCTCCCCTGTCCAACTATAAGAAGTCTTGTGAAAATCAGAATTACCTCATGAAAGTATTTTACCTGCCTTCAATTAAAATGCTGTTATTCTTTGCAGCTACATGTAACACATGAGGGAGATAAAGCCAGGCGATTATTATATTATCCATAGATTAAATTAAAAATTAAATATACAGGTCAACAAATGACTTTGTTGACCTAATTCTGCAATCTTGAAGGGAGATGCTATGCCTACATGACATTTTATTGAAACAGCAGGGATTCCTGCAGGCTTCCTTGTGGTGTGGAAGCCTAGAACTAAGAAGGGAATTGAAAGGTTATATAGCATCTCTTTATGGCAATAAGAAGGTCAGGTCTAACTTTCAGTCATTGCATGGGAAAACTGCTTTATGTTTTGTTTTAAATTTAAAAGGCTTACTTGTGCTGGGTGGGTTTTTGTTGTTTAAATGGTAGTAGACTTGTCAGCCTTGCTTGAAATAGAGACTATCTGTTTAAAATCTACAGGCATGCAATATATATTTAGCCCTACCACGATGCTGATGGTATTATTTTCTGTCAGAAAGTAGTATTGCTGAAAATAATTAAGCTAATGTTGCATTAGGCTAATGTTGCGTGCATTCATGGAGGCGTATTACAAATTCCATTTCAGAAAATGACAATTTCGCTTAACTAACTTTTTATTCTGAGTGCTGTAGGGAATTGATTTTATGTCTTACGTATATGCTTATTTTAACTCTACTTATGCATTCCTTGAATTACAATTTGAGGACTGGTTTTAATCAGTTACTTCTATTACTTTGTGCACAAAATTATACTTAACTGTACATCAGTCTATGTAAATGCGATATTGAATTGCATTTGTAAGAAGAACCTAGCTTATAGTTCCAAGTTTTCTGTTTTCTTTCGACTGTTGTTTACATATACAATTTTCTTCTTTCAAGTCTTGAGAAACTACTGGAGGAATTTGGTGAGCAGCTAGGGGTTTTCACAAGCTAACTAAAATCCCGTACTGGGAATTTGTAATCTTGAGAAGCAATCAAGCACTGTATAGAGGGTAGGGTAAAAGTTACATGTTCTCTGTTGGTAGGAAAATGGATAATGCATGTGTTTGGGATTATAAGCAATAATACTTCAAACCAGTATTTGTTATGCAAATTGAAGTATAAATTGAGTCTGTTCTCCAGTAACTAGATGGGCAACACATTCTGTACCAGTTAGTCACTCCAGATATACTTAACAGATTTTGCAGCATTATCAGTGAGGTGTTCTGTATCCTTATGGAGCATGCAATAAAAGTCTGTCCTGTAGGTTTGGTAAAGATGTCATAGTTTCCTGGTACTTTTGTTGTTGTTGTTGTTCTTAGAAGGGGGTAAAAGTTACAGTTTTGCCTTTCAAATTAAATGCTTTTTCTCCAGACTATTTGATTGCATGCTGGCTGTAGCCCATTAGAATGTTTCTTTAAGCATATGGTTGGCAATATGTTCTTCATAGCATTACTGAGATAAGTGTTGTAATATTAGTGACCTGAAGCAATGAAAGAGCAACATTTGTATAGGAGACTTGTTGTTTAGATGGGTCATGTCTAGAGGACATATGTCACATACAGACACAAACAAAGCAGATAAATGGAAAAATAGGATGGCAGATGAAATTATGTGTAAAGTAATAACCCATGAGTGGAAAAACATGCTTAGAGGTTTTAAATTAACTTTAATATCAAAAGTGATTTGGATGTTGTTATGGACAGTTTAATGAAACATCTGTATGCTTGTGGTCAAACAAGATGATTCAGTGTGTGACGGTTGGGATTGAAAATACAGAAAATATTATAATGCCGTTATATTAATCCATAATACAATTTCACTTAAAATACTACTTACAGTCCCAGTTACCCCGTTTTAGAGAATGCTTCTGTTACAAGGTTGGTAAAAAGTAGCCAGTGACCTAAAGACAACTCTCACAAAGGGATTAGGACACTCTATTGTTAGAAAAAGCAAACAAGTTAAAGCAATAATTTGAGATAATAAGGTATCTTGAGAATTACCGTTCTCCTCTTTTCTTCAAGAACAAGGGACTATTCAATAAAATTAGGAGACTTTCTCTTTTAACACAGTATGTGAATAAACTGTGGACTTAATTGTGTTGTGACTTTGCTAAAGAAAATAATTGAACAGTGAGGCTTGAAAAAGACATTTGTATAATACGCAATTAAAGTATTAATGCTAGCAACAAAACTGAACTAAATTTGGAGGTGATATTAAACTTCTCTTTAGACCTTAATGTCTAAAGTTGCATAGTAGTTTAAGGAATTTCTTGTAACTACTCTGAAACATCAGTTCCTGGCTTTCATAAGAAGCAAGATGTGAGAAAATAATTATTCAGTTTGACGGTTCCTATAATTAAGCAGTGGATATTGCTTATGCATTTTTTTTATCTTTATATTCTGGGTTTGGGAAAAGAATATCTAATACAGGTATTTAGGAAGAAGTAGATGTCAGTGATGCAAATCAGTAGATGTCTTTCATATCTCACCTCTGTCAATCTCATCTTTTATTTCTGTATATTCCTACTTCATGGTTCTGTGTGCCTTCATCTCTTTCTGTAGTCAATTAGTGAGTGCAGATGGCACTCTTCCCCTTCTGGTTGGTGACTAGAATTAATGCATTTATTGGAAAAAATAAAATAAAACAGCGCTATTGATGTAAGAATTGTCAGCAGCAGTCTTCGATCACAGGACTAGAAGCTGTGTCCCTTCCTTCCTCCTTTTCAAGGACGACATGTACACAGCCATCCATCAAGCAGATATCCACTAGTGGAACAGTAAATTGTACTACCTCCAAATACAGTTTACTGTCTACGTTGAGGACTACTGCTATTGTAACATTTAAAGCTTCTTTTATCTTCTGACCTGACTAGATGGATAAAGGTGTTGGTTTTTAACAGTAGAAGTGCTACTACCTGGTGTCACAGTAGTGTGAGCTATAGATGGATGATCTCTTAACAGTAACACATGGCATCACCTTACTTAAAAAGAGTAGCAATACTGAAAACTGTCTTTGCACAATAAGGTAGATGCACCACCTGTGTTTGTATAGGCTGTGTTCAAGGGGAGGAAGAAAACTTGCTGATTTAAATGAAAGCCGGATTGGAATCATTATGGATGAGCAAACGCTCCACAGAGTTTTATACCTTTACTGTAAGCAAATCGAGATTGAAATAGATGCTGATATGGGATTATTGGCAAGTATGCTGATATCTTCCAGTCTCCTACACTATGCTACCTCCTAGTTAGCAATTAGAACACTGACCCTAATGCTGATGTGATGATAAATTACAATGCTGACCATTTTTGTGGTTTCACTGTCAGTTTTATTAAAATGTATGCATATGAAAAAATTCTCCCTCAAAAAGGGATGTTAAATGCATACTGAATTATTGTTATGGAAGATTACATGTAGATGTTTTAACTTTCTTCTGAATCCTGTAGAATGGCATCTCTCTTTCCTTAGCTTTTGTTTTCATAAAGAATAATTTTCATTACTATAAAACTGCTTACTAAAGATGTTAATTTTTTGATTCTTAAATGTAGCAAAATACTTTGGTTTCTTCTCACAAAGTAGTTGAGTAATACTGATGTTTTATGGTTGAGTATGCAGTGAAGTAACTGAATCAAGACCTCAGTTGCTCTTCAGACTTATTTCCAACAGCATAGAAGGTTTGAAATATTGGTCCATTGAAGGCAACCATAGAAATCTGATTATTTAAGTAAAATCCAAGCATTGTTTCTTTTAAATGTAAAGTTCTCAGAAGTAAGGATGATAAAAATGCATGTCTTTTGATCATGCTAAACTGATGGAGCATTTTCAATTTTTTACTTATTTGTAGAGAAAAAATGGGGTCAAATCTTATGATTGAAACCGCAAGAAATTCCAAATGTCCGAAGGTAAGTACAGTTTTCTAAGGTAAATATTGCGTATTCCACAAGTACTTTTAACAGTTCTGAGTAAAAGTACTATCCCTAGAAGAATATTGGATAAACAGTATGAGTGTTGGTACGCTCACCAAGTTTCCATATGAGATAGCCCATGCTTTTAAAGGATAAAAATTTATTAGATTCCTAAACTTCTGCAGCAGTTTCTCATATTTTTATTTAATACTTTAAGTTAGAATATGTTTCAGAGATGTTAAAAGGCTTATAATCAGAGAAATACTAGGTCAACTTCTTGAAGTTGTGCAAAGTTTGTTTTTTCATATAAGAGAATTCTAGTTTCTGGAGATCCTGTCACATCAGCTGTCATGTGTATTATTGTGTAGTGAGAGAGCAGGGTTTCTCCTCACTTTATCTGGATTGCCAGGTTTTCTCCAGTCGCATTCGTAGGCCCTGAGCTCTCTACTCTTCCTGTATGATATAAAGGGCACCGATTAATTGGAGGGGTGTTATATACAGCAGCAGCACGAGAGTGAAAGATGAGAAGGCATGGGTATTTTATTTTTGGTGAAGGATAGGGTGTGAAGAAGAGAAATATAATAGCACATATTTCAGAACAATCTGTAATTAACAGGTGTTTTGGTGTCATAGCACTATATTCAATGCTTTAGTGTTAAATGGAAGATATTCACATTTTTCTAAACATAGAAACATGTGCTTGAGTGACTGCGTTCCTAGTCCATGTCTAAAACAAGGACATGAAAAGGCTGGAGTGGTATGTTGCTTTCTGAGAGAGAAGCAATCCTACATTGACTTGAAAGTTATCTTTGAACTGGGGTCTTTGGCTTCCTTCCATGTTCTTCAGTAATAAAATGTAAATATAAATAGAGTTGAAACTAGCTATTCCCAGTAATCACTTTGTAGTGCTGGCAGCGGTGGCACTCTTTACAAGGCACAGCAAAATCAAAATAAAACGTGCAGTTGTGTGCTCTGCTGCTGTTAAATTCATGGTGAGATGAATTTTTCCAGAAGGTGCTCAGCGCTTTCCAACTTAGACTGCATAATGAAGTGGAAGTGTATATGGGTATTACCAAAAAGAAATTCAAGCATTGGTTTGATAAATTTTCTATTGAATTTTCCAAAGTTTTTTTCTTACCGCTTCCAGTAGCGCTTAGAACCAAACCTTCCTTTTGACAAAACCAGGAAGCTTTTTCTCCATCAAGTGATGGAGTATGAATCATGCATGTGTTTTGCTTCTGCATTGTCATATAGAAGTTACACTTTTCTTGTTTTCTTTTCTATAAGGATGGCCTTATTGTGAATTAAATGATTTAACTTACGTATGGAAATGAATACAGTGATATCGCAGCATCACCTGCTAGTGCTGTTGAGTAATGTTTCACAAAAACACCCTACTCTGTAAAAGAGTAAACAGAATTGAACACTCGCTTGGCTGCTGGGTGCATCATCACTGAAAGGTCTTGCACATTCTAACACTCATGCATAACTATAGGTACTCTCACCTCATGTGATTATATCTGTAAGGTATAATTTTTTTGCAGTCATATGTTTTGTTTTATGGAAATACCATTTTGGCTTTTCACTTAGATTTACATACGTGATTTTGTTACTGACATTTGAGTGTCCTTACGAAAAACCTTGAAAGATTTATGTTTGATTCTTTTGGTTTTTTCTTTGGGAGAGAGTCTTCCTGCAATCCTTTAACTTGGGTTGCAACATTAAGCAGTCATTTTCTTGGAGAAAGAAATATATTGACGTTTCTAACATTCGTATTTAATGGCATGGTTGTATTGCTGGTTACAGACTTTTGAGAATGAACTACTATTCATAAAGGCAAAACATAGATGACACCAGCTTTTTGTTTAAGTATCAATGGATAGATATTGGTAGAAACAGAATAGCCAGTGGAAACAATTAATTTCAGGTTAAAAATAGCATTTTCTTTAGGGAGTTTGGGGAGGTTTTGTTGTTGGGTTTGGTTTTTTTTACTTTTTAAATTTTAGATAGGCATTATAAAAAAGTAAATAAATAATGAACTGAGTGGGATTCCAGAGACGCATTTAAGGTATAAATTGAACTTCATATTGTGGGAAGCTGTCATTCTCATATTATTGTTACTATTATCACCATATATAACTATTTTTGTTTCTCCTAACTCACTAGGTAGCTGCAGTAAGCACCATTGTAAACAGAGGAACACCACTGAAAGCATTTGTTTTTAGAAACTACAATCACTTTCCTGGTGTTAAGTCTCATTATATTGGAGGCTGTCAGTATAAACTGTGGCAGGCTATTAGAGCATCATCTGCTGCACCGGGTTACTTTCAGGAATATGTTTTGGGCAATGATCTTCATCAGGTAAGTTGAAATCATCTTCTTTAGGTAAATATTTTCCAGTATTATACCTCAGAAAAAAGTTGTCTGAATTTCTGAATCAGAACTAAGCAAATAAGTTGGTAGCAGAAAGGAAATCTGGGATGGATGGGGTAAGAAAGGAAATTTTTAGCTTGTATAGCCCTTTTAAAACTAGTAAGGGTATAGGCTTAAAAATCTTAGTCTTCTCAATACAAGCTTAAGCTCTTCTGCTGTTCCTTTCTTCTCTGCCTGGAAGGAAACCTTATATGAGTTGTAAATTGCCTCTGACTTCCTGCTTAGAACTGGTATTTCATTGAGCATTATTTCACTAAACAGATGGTGTGACTTAAAATCTAACAATACTGTAAAGTGTGAAAAAATCAAGTTATGCATTTCAGTGTTCCTTTTATTAGTGTGTAATTTCACTTTATGGTCTACTTTTAATTCTTCCATTGATAGCTTATTAAGCTCTACCCTGCTTCTGAGCTAGCAAAAAGAATAAGAGATGCCATGGCAGTAAGATTAAACTTGGAGGACAACTGCAAAAGAAATTTCCTTGAGGATAAAGCAATGTCTCCTATCAACAGTGTATGCTATTTTATTGTATTGTAGCTTCTGTTGGTGACCCTGATTAGTAAAGAGCAAGGCAAGTTAATTTCTTTAGTAGTTTTTTAACCATTGTGTTCTTGTTCTCCAGTGCCGCTTTATTGCTCTGCAGTTCTTTGAGTTTTAAGAGAATCCTTTCTACAGTACATATTAATTTAAAACTATCAGTATTGATTTTTAAAATGATCTGATGCAGATCTGTGGCAGAAGAGACTACAAGGGGTGACTGAACCCCAGACCTTCAACAAAGACAGCATAGGATTCTGTCACTTGAATCTAAAGGAAGCATCTATTACATTTCTGTCATATTAATTCCTGTGATGGCATTAGCCTTAACTACTAGAAAACAGTAATAGCCTATTTTGAGTACCTGGATCGCATACAGAGTTTCTCATGGTGTCCATTAAAAAGCTGTGTAATCTCTTTAGCATTGTAATGTGCATAGTAATAGTGAAGTTTAAGACTAACAGATAAATAAGGAATATAAGATGAAATAGTGAAAAAATCATTAGATTAAGAGATAATAAACAGAAACATTGATACAGAGAAGCAGCTAGAATTTAATCTGAAAAAAAAATCATACTTCTATATTTTGGATTAACATTTATAAGGAGATGGAATAATTATGTTCAGCTATGTATAAAGTTCTACCTGAGTTGGGGGGTGAAGGGGGAAGGATTGCTATGGAGGGCGGGATGGTGCTACTACATCAACCAGATTCTGAGAGTTCTTCCATTTTACTGTTTCCCCATTTTTGTTTAGGGTCTTTTTTTTCCCCCTTCCCCACGTCCAGCCTCTCCAGTATGCTACATCTCGTTATCCCTACAATGTTTTAATTAAATACTACCTGAAATAAGCAAATGAGTTTTGGGGTTTTTTTTAAAGCTAAAAATGGAGTAACACATAAGATATTCTAAGCCTAAGCACTGCTTGAAATCCTGAAATGTGTTCATCTTCCATCTGGCCAAGTAAAACTGGAAAGAGAGCTGCTTTAGCCTTTGGAGCTGTTCCAAGCTGCTCCTTAACTGCTTGAATGGGTCAGTGTTAAGCTATGTGAAGCACTTTTCTTCCTCTTCTCACCTTCCCACCCCCTCTTTCCTTGAATTGAGAGTACATCAAAATCTGTCTGCACTTCTCTATGAAGAATAGCTAAATAAACAACATTATTTTTAACTTCTATGCAGTGCTTAGGCAATTACTTGTCTTAACATTGTTTCTCAATTGCCAGACTTGGGTGAAATATGCAGTAAGGTGTGTATTCATTTCATCTGTATTCACTTTTAAGTCTAATATACCAGACTAGAGAATGTATGATTAGTGTTAATAGAGATCAGATCTAGTATTCTCAGACACACAGAGCTAGAATGAAGTCTAGTTCATTTTTCCTTACTCCAGAGCCTTTGGACAAAGCCCTCCCATCTGATCTTACCAACACTGTTTCACAAACTCACCATTCTTTTCTATTTGATGTATTTTAATTACTAGAAAGCAAGGGCTTAGGATGTGGTTCACCTTTGTAAGCCATAAAGAACTAAATATTTTTTCAGTACTAAAACTGTTTATTGTAGTAGAACTAGATGCTAAATTTTCTGACTTAAACTTTCATATCATCTGAAAATCTCTCTTCTACCCAGGCATGATATTTAAACACTTTTGAATTCTTTTAGAATCCAAAGGTTGTCATCTTTCATGTCTTTCATGCTTTTCTTTCCCCAGATTACACTTTTCTTACCACATCTCTATTTCTGTAATTATCTATTTTGTGGGAGATGTGCTTGGTTTTTTATGGCTCGCCGGCTAGCGAGGTACTATGTGGCAAATGCTACATGACTGTCTCAGTGCAGATTTCTATCTTGGATTATAAATCCACCACTGCAAACTCAAGCTACCTTGAATTACCTTGTTTTAACCCTGGGGTAAGAGCCTCCATGCATGTAGCAGACGGTTACCCTTATGTTCTTGGGTGTAATGGTACCTCAGTGGAAAATGCAAGGTAATCAAGAGTTTTGTCTCTATTAAAGTATCCAAGATGAATTGGAAAGAATACATATGCATAAATACCTTTTTAAATAAATAAAATCCTAAATGCAGTCATATTCCTGTTTAAAATAGCTTTGTGATTATTTTTTAAAGTATGTTAATAACTCTTAGTCCTTAAATATAGCTTATATCATAAATATGAGATAGTAGATTTTTGTTAAGCATCCTTTAGAATAAAGTGCACTGCAATTCTCATGTTAAGTTCCTCGGCCAGGTCATGTATGATACTAACATTTGTTGTTGATATGGAAATACTTAGTCTTTTCTGTCTTATCATTTTAAGCCTGTACACTATCTAACAGGCTGGGCTGCTTTTGAACTACAGAAATAAATGAAGCATAACATTGTTAGACATTCTCAATAGTACCATGATTTTTTAAAAGTGCATCAGCACAGTATGTATTAATTGTAAATAATAATTTATGCCAAAGGCTTCAATATTGTAGTACAGTGTCAGAAAGATAATGGTCTTTTGAGGTGTTTTTTTTAATGGATTGGAAGCTTCCATTAATTAATCAGCAGAATCTCTTTTCTGAACATGAACTATGCTAGTTTCTTATTAATTTATATATAATCTGCTTCTGCAGTGTTGATATTTCTAAATAATTCAAAGATAGAGATGGCCAAAGTGTGAAAGTGGTTGTAAAATATCTGTGAAAATTCGGAGTAGTTAATATAATGAGATTTGTTTCCCAGCTTTGAAGTTTGGGGCTCTAAAGGATTATATATAGAGACCATGTTTTGTATTAGCTTATCAGTCAGTTGTACATTTAAGTCTGAATGAAAAGCGCTCTGGCAGTTCATCTGACTTAGGACTCTTCAAATGTGTGTTTGATACTGCAAATTTAGTGGATTTATTTTATGGTTAGCCTGCATATTCTTGTTTTATGTTATCTAGCTTTTGTTGAAATCGGAGTCCTTTTGCAAACTGTATGAAGTAGTTCAATGAGAGTTATGCATAGGGTTGAGATTAATTCATAAAGACTTTATGTGTGACTCTAGACGTATATGCTTGAATCATGCCTGAGCTGAACTGTAGCTGTTTGCTTTAATGCTCACATTTATAAATGCATGTGTATTTGTGTACACACATGCATGCCCTTTCTCTGGGAACGTTCCAGTCTGACTTCCTATACTAGTCACTGTAAATGTTCAAGGGGATTATAAAGTCTGTTAATTTTTTTAATAAGGTAATAAATTATTTTTACAATTCCTCTGATGTAATTGTTTAGTAAGAGGTTTCTAGGTGCCTGAACACTTACTCTTACTCGTGCTGCAGATAATCTGATGTCAGGTTTGTTAAATTTCCACAAAAAGTAAGCAGTTCAAAACCAAATAGCAATATTTACGTTCAGTCAATCATGCCATGCTATCTGGTTCCACTCTGTCAAGTAGGAAAAAACAGTGCAGCTGTTGGTAGATGAGGGGAAGAGGATTAATATTCTTTGTGGTTCAAAAGAGGAACACATTAACATTCAAAGGGATTTAATCCCTGTAACATGCTTCTCCAGGAACTGTGCAAGTCAAGAGAGACGAAGTCATGATGTTACAATATAGAAGCTGTATTGCCACATGTCATCTTTTTTATTTTAAAATCTATTTATGAAGCACTGAGGGCTCTTAACCTCTCACCAGTCCTGTTACAACCAGTGGTGGGTTTTTTTTTTCCTACTTCCCACGGAGGGAGGGGTGTTGTTTCTTGTATCTATTGCTCTTTTCTTTTTTTTTTTTCCTTCCCCCCCTGTAGTGTGAAAAGCATTTGGGGTACTCAATAATGTCACTTCAGTAGACAGTACAGTATGCTAAGGAAATTACCAATTAATTAAAAGAGTAATTTAAGATTTAACAAAATCATTATGCACACTTCATTTGCTAGGTTTTACAGTAAAAACTAAATTTGTCCTGCAGAATTAATTAAAAGGGCAGCAGGGATTGTGGGTGGGTGGGTGGTGATGGTGAGTTTAACAAAGCCACAGATTTTTCTCAAAGCGTAATATACTCAATTTAATACAAAGGACTTGATCACCTTTTTCTTGACAGCTCCCCATTATTTCATTGCTGCATTACAATTCCATTTATTAAAATGCTGGTGTTAACTTGTAGTAGCGTTCAAGTAATCATATTTTCTTTGAGCAAGATCAGGTAGTAAAGTGGTTAAATTGGCAGCTAATCTGTTAGTGGCGTTTTAATAATGCAGGTATAACAGGATGTGTGGTGAGAATACAACCTAGAAATAAAAAAATATATATAGTACAATAATATGATGTAACTAGAATTTCAAGTGTCACCTTCATTAAAAAAAGATATTACAGAGTTTCTTCATATTTTTCAAACTTTTCCCTTCCTTTTATTAGGCA